AAATAAATATTTTAGAAACTATTGGTGACGCAGTGCTGAGGTTTGCCATTCAAAACAGTGAACAAAATCATTTCAACTACAGGTAGTCCTCGACGTACGACCGCAATTGAGCCCAAAATTTCTTCTTGTTAGGCGAGACATTTGTTAAATGAGTTTTGCTCCATTTTACGACCTTTCTTGCCACAGTTGTTAAGTGAATCGCTGCATTTGTTAAGTTAGTAACACGGTTGTTAGGTGAATCTGGCTTCCCCATTGACTTTGCTTGGCAGAAGGTCGCAAAAGGTTATCATGTTGCCCTGGGACACTGCGACCGTCGTAAATATGAAGCAGTGGTCAAGCATCTGAATTCTGAGCGCAGGGCCAGGGGGTTGCTGCAACGGTTGTAAGGGTGAAAAATGGTCATCGCTTACTTTTTTCAGTACCGTTATAACTTTGAGTGGTCACTAAATGAACTATTGTAAGTTGAGGACTACCAGTAATTCATTTGTGCCTGTTTTATGCATTCTGTTAATCTCCTGGATAGAAAACAAAATACAGGTAGTCCTCCACTTGTGACCACAATTGAGCCCAAAATTTCTGTTGTTAAGTGAGACATTTGTTAAGTTTTGCCTCATTTTACGACTTTTCTTGCCACCGTCGTTAAGTGAATCACTGCAATTGATAAGTTAATAACCTGGTTGTTAAGTGAATCTGACTTCCCCATTGACTTTGCTTGTCAGAAGGTTGCAAAAGGGGATCACATGACTTTGGGACACAGCAAAGGTCATAACCATGATCGAGTTGCCAGGCATCTGAATTTTGGTTACATGTTCATGGATTATAACCATGAAAAATGATCATAAGCCGCTTTTTTCAGTGCTGTTGTAACTTTGAACAGTCCCTAAAGCACTGTTGTAAGTTGAGGACTACCTATACACAGAAATAACATAGACTGACTTACCATCAGCATAAGGGAATCCTTCCGATGACTTATCAAAAGCTACACCGTGGGGCATCATGCTATGGTTCTTGTCTCCTCTATTGAGAAAAGTAACCAAGATGATATCACCAACTTCAGCTTTGATAACTGGGCCTTGAAATTAGAGGTAAATGAATTAATTGTTAAAAAAGGATTAGTTGAAAGCATCATCTTATCCAGTGGTGGGATTCAGCTGGTTCGTAGAACCGGTAGCTAATGTTTTGTTGCCCAGGCCTAGAATGGACTTCCGGAAGTGGCATCCACACAGAGAACCGGTTGTTCACATATTTGAATCCCACCACTGATCTTATCTCTGCACCAGAAATTATCCCTATTTCCTTCAGCCCCCACCCATTCCTCCTTGTGACTCTCACTCCAATCTTTTCTAAGAAATCACTTTACAAGCTCCCTTTCTCCATGTAATCAAATTGCACTCTCACCATTGTGGCTCTCCCTCTCTCTGCTGACGCACAATATCTCACTGGTTATTTTTGGACACTGCATGAAACGCATTTGGCTAGGCTACAGCTAAAGTACTGTGTACCCTTTCCACCATCCATATACTGTAGGAAAGGGAGAGACTATATGGGGTTATAGATGTATTTCCTTTGGGACATTTTCTTCCCAAGCACTGCCATGAACAGCAACAATTCTAATTCCATGCCCACCCAAAACATCTGATTTTGTGCAGGTGGTCCTCGACTCATAACCACAACTGAGACCAGCATTTCTGTTGCTATGCAAAACAATTGTTCAGCCAGTTGCACCCCGTTTTATGATCTTTTTGCCATAGTTGTTAAGTGAGACACAGCAGACTCATAAAGTGAATCTGGTTTCCACCATTAACTTTGCTTGTGTGGGAAGCCAGCTGGGGAGGTTACAGATGGCGGTCACATGACCCCAGAACAGTGCCAACTGTCATGAATATAGGCCGGTTGCCAAACACCCGAATTTTGATTACGTGACCATGGGATACTGCAATAGTTGTAAGTGTGAAAAATGGCCACAAATCTCTTTTTTTCAGTACCGTAAGTGGAACTGAATGGTCACTAAAGAAATGGTTGTAAGTCGAGGACTACCTGTATCCAGTTTAGTCACATGACCCAATTTATGGCTAAATGTCTGTGGAGAGAAGGAGACAAATAAAAAGAAGGAGGAGAAGGAAGAAAGGAGGAGGAGGAGGAGGGGAAGGCGGAGGAGGAGGAGAAGAAGGAAGAGGAGGAGGAGGAGAAGGAAGAGAAGGAGGAGGAGGAGAGGAGGAGGAGAAGTAGGAGAAGAAGGAGGAGGAGGAGAAGGAGGAGGATGGGAAGGAGGAGGAGAAGGAGGAGAAGAAGGAGGAGGAGGAAGAGGAGGAAGAGGAGGAGGAGGAGAAGAAGGAGGAGGAGGAACAGTTTCTTGGATGAGAAGCAAAATGTCTTCGTCCCAAGGAAAACCATTCCAGTTGCCTTTTGAAAAAGCACCTTTGAGACATGACCTAGTTTAGTTTTCATTCACAAAACTAAGATGGCGTCTTCTGGGTTTAAAGTTCCTCATACAGAAAAAACTATATCTTATGAACACCATGCTCTTAGGCAGGGCTTTTTTTCTCGGAGAAAAGGTGGCGGAACTCAAACCTGGCCACGCCCTCATCAAACCCTAGGACCGCCCCTTTAGAGAACAGGAATGCAAGTAAAATTTGGGAGGGGCTATTTCCGGTGCGGCCGGCCCGGAAAAAGGTGCCGGAACGCGGTTCCGCCGCGTTCCGGCTGAAAAAAAGCCCTGCTCTTAGGAAGCCCATATCTGCAGTAAGATATGGCTAAGTTCTGATGTAGACATTATTTCAGTATCATTGGCTAGGGTTTCATCATGGCTTGGCTGGGTTCAGAACGGCTCTTAATATGTGCTGGTATCAGGGTAGTGTGTCTGAATCCAGTGCCATGAAAAAACCCAATGTTTTCCCCACCTCATACCAAGTATGCCAAGATGGGCCTCAGATGCGGGTCGCTTCATTTTTCTGCTAAAGCTACCATCGGTGTAGGCCACATAGTGGACTTTCCAGTAGCGTCCTCCAATTCGATCATCTCCTTGTCTAAAGTAAGGCGCTGAGTCACTGCGAAAACATAAAGTGTGAATGTCAGTTACAAAGCTCCCTGTGAATTTGTAATGCTGGAATATGTATGTACCTACATAGGTGACTCCTTTAAAGTAGACCAGATGATAAACTTCAAAGCAGGGACAGAAGTTAGGAAAAAAAAGAATTTGCTCATTGTCACTTAATGAATTTCCATTCAAATCAATTTGTGATCTGAATCTGGCACTTCACCCATTTTGTAAAAACCGTGATGGCGCAGTGGTTAGAATGCAGTATTGTAGGCTGACTCTGCTCACTGCCAGGAGTTCGATCCTGACCAGCTCAAGGTTGACTTCCATCCTTCCAAGGGCAGTAAAATAACGACGCAGACTGTTGGGGGCAATATGCTAATTGTGTAAACCGCTTAGAGGGGAGCTTTAAAGCAGGGCTTTTCAACCTTTTCACCCATTGTACCACTTTTAGGATATGTCAATATCCGAGTACCACCAGTCGCCTAGCAAGGTGTCAAAAACTTGATGACCCCCCCCCCAAAAAAGGAAAAAAGTGATAAAGTACAAGTAGTCCTCTACTTACAACAGTTCGCTTAATGACTGTTCGAAGTTACAATGGCACTGAAAAAAAGTGCCCCCAATCCACAGCCGAGCAAGACACCTGCCTGCCCTCCAGGCAGTGCTCTTCCTCCTGTCCGAGGTTTCCATTGTTGTGAGCATTTCTGTTGGGGATTGGCAGCGGAGGTGGGGTGGGAGGTGTTTGGTTTTTATTCCCCCCATCTGCTGGGTGGTTGCAGCAGGTTTTGGTCACTTCACATGACCCTGGGACACTGTGACCATCATAAATATGAATCAGTTGCCAAGAATCTGAATGTAAATCACAAGACCCTGAAGATGCTGCAACATTCCAGCTGATCGGCGCTTCTTTTGGGCTCAGCAGAAGTGCCAGGATCAGCACCAAGCTCCAGCTGAAGCCTGGCCCTGATCCTGGTGCTTCCACTGAGCCCTGACAGCCCCGAAGAAGCGCCGATCAGCTGGAAAGTG